CCTCATGTCCATCTCACTCAAATAGCAGGGCTCAAACCAGAAGTCAAGAGCAAAAGCTGGCAAAGCCAGCAGGCATCCCCAACTGGGCACCAGCCATTTTGGTGCAGCTAGAGTCATTACGGAAGATTTTTAACAATGCATAACCTTTCTGCTTCACTCTGCTAACAGCAGGTGGTATGCCTTTCAGAGCTGAGGCTGCTTTGAAGTCACCAGTGAGCAGGACCTGACCTTCATTTCCAGTATATGCAGCATTAAATATTCATAATCTACGTAACTGAAGCATAAGAAGGAGCAGCATTTAAGCATGAATCAAAGGAATAAATATCTCCCCACATGTGAGTCATCCTTTCCCAGAATGCCACTGGAAAAAAATACTTATACAGAGCTTTGAGAGCTGCTGTTTCTTCCAGCTTTCCCTTAAAATTGTGGAAGAAATAGGGACTGCTGCTTCATACCATCCATGGGTCCTTCCCCTCATGGTGACATTATGTGGTTTCCCTACTCTTTATTCATTCCATAAGTATTACTGGTCTGGTGACAAGAAGAAGGATAGAGCAAGCAACAGTGACATTGACACTAATAGGACAGCGAGGGCACAATTGACTTGGCTGTACAATTAAAAAATATTTAGTGTGTGTGTATATATGCTTGTGTAGGTATGATATGTGTAAGTATGGACATATATGTGCCACAGTACAGTGTGGGGGGTCAAAAGAAAACTCTTAGGAGCATGTTGTCACCTTCCATTATGTTGAGGCAGAGTTTCTCTTGCGTCTGATGCTGTGCTGTATATATACTCTAGGCCAACTGGCCCATGTGCTTCTAGAGGATTCTCTTGTCTCCACCTCCCATCTCACCATAGGAGTGCTAGTTTTACAGAGCCACATCACTAAATCCACCTTTTTAATGTGGGGCCCAAGAATCAAATTTCAGTTGTCAAGCTTATGTAGTGGATGCCTTTACCTGCTGAGACATCTCTCTGGATCCTGGTTATACATTTTTAAAATACTTTACTTTATAGAAATCAGGGTGCATAGGAGAAAGAATACATGTAGTCACCTGGGAGAGGTCAGAATTAGGAGGTGGAGAATTTGGAGAACATGGACCTTGGAAGGATGGGATTGTCGGTTTCATGAAGACATCAATATTATATCCATCCCAACGAAGTCTTGCTATAACACCCCCTTTGTTTGAATCTTCCCAGTGTCTTCCATTGGGATGATGGAACACCATTTGAACCCATCTTCACTGTGTTTCTCCTTATCTGTTGGCCTCAGGACAATGTTTCTTAGGTAGACAGTGATCACTGAAAATGACCCAAAAGATTCTTCCCATAGAGATCAAGTGAGGAAAATGAAGATTCAAAGGAGGGGAGTTCTCAAACACATCCCTGAAAAAGACCCACTCTGGGATCTGTATGTCTTGGATTAAGAACCAAAATTTGAGCAAAGATGTGTGGAAATACTGTAGTCAAGTACATTTTGAAAGTTGAGGAAGATTGCCAATTGCCATACAATTATGCCAGCCAATAACCTTAACAGTGTTAACCTTAACTGAGTTGCCTTTCTGCTGACTTGTTGAGGCAGAATAAGCATCCACTTTGCTTGCCCACGTGCACAATCTAACTCAGTCCCTCTGAGAACAGTTGGCTGAGTCCAGCCCTGAGACTATTTCATATGCTCAGCACATCCTTTGCAGTTCTCTTTTTAAATCTTTTAATTTTTTTCTACATGTGTGGCGTATGCACAGGTGGCACACATGCAAGCAGAAATCAGAAGAGAATGTCAGGTACCCTGTTTTCTCACCTTCCCATTTACTCCTTTAAAGCAGGGTCTCTCACCAAGCCCAGAGCTAAGATGGCAGCTGAGCAAGCCTCAGCGATCCTGCTGTCTCCATCTCCCAAAGCTCTAGAGATAAGACACAGAGGTCCATGCCCAGCTTTTCAGAAACATTTTGGTGGCATGAGCTCAGGTCTTCATGTTTGTTCAGTAGCTGCTCTTACCCACTTGGTCATCACCCCCAACCCTTCATTGCCAAAGGGCCAGGTGTGGAAACCTTTGCATCTTGAGTTTCTATAATTGGGAGATCACTAATCTACCAAGTGGGTGAAAACAGCTCTGGCTAGGTGTAATGAGAGAATCAATTTTGCAAACCATCTCAGTCCAGAGAGCACTACTCTTGATTTATTTATTTGCAGAGGGTTAACACTAATACAAATTCACCTCAAGAATACCAGGTATTTTTTCTCAGGGCAATGACTTGGTATAATTTTTAAGAGAAATTTAAGCTGCTTCCCACGATGGTCAGCCAAGCCATTTCTATTAAGTCAGTGGTTGCTTTGAATGAAAAAAGACAGACTTCAAGAATTTGCCTTCTACTTTCTCACGCTCACTCCTTTTGTAGTTTATATGTAGACAGAGTTTCATCTCATCTCATTCACTAAGCTTGATTAGAATTTGATTAATAGACTGCATTTGCTGTTCTGACTATGACCCTCTAGACCAGTGGTTCTCAACCTTCCTAATGCTTTGACCCTTTAATACAGTTCTTCATGTTGTGGTGACCCCAATCAGAAAATATTCATTGCTACCCCATAACTAATTTTGCCACTGCTATGAGTTGTAATGTAAATATCTGATATGAAGATAGTCTTAGGTGACCCTTGTGAAAGGGTTGCTTGACCCCAAAGGGGTTGTGACCCTCAGAGGTTGAGAACCATGTCTCTAGACTTATCATAAAGGTATCACTATAGCTTTTGCTTTAATTCATCTCCTTAAACTGAGTGTGCCTGGTGGATATCCCTGAAAAGATGGATTCTCCCTGAAGGCTGTTTATTATCTCCCCAACAGGTTGGAGTCTTAGGCTATGGTCTCAGGGCCAGATGAAGAGGTAGAACTGAAAAGTAGGGTTACATATGTAGTGACATGTGTTCTGCTAAACAAAGTCTGTATTAAAAAAACACACAATTTGCTCAGTTTATGAAGAGAGAAAGGCTGACACCCATGCTAAGGCTTGGCCAGCCCCCATGGAGAACGAAGACAATCTCATATTTAAGATTACTCTCATTTTTGCTGGGGAAGGTGTAAAACAGAACTGAAGGTCAGCCTTGGTAAGACTCTGTGCATGACCATAAAAGAACCAGAATCACTAAGTGTTTCTAGCATCAGCTTCAGCAAGCTTCATCAGCTTTAGCAGAGTCAGGACTAACCCTAAAGGATAGGAGGCTGGCGAGGCATCAGTGAATACTGTCAACTTAGGAGAACAGCATGTTTTGCTATCCACTCCCAAGGAAGACCAGACTCTATAGAGCCTAAGATTGCCTCCTACTAGACACAATTTTTAAAAAAGACAACATCCAAATCCATTTACCAGAAACATTTTATTTCCATAGCATACAAAGGGGCAGAAAGGGGGACAGAGGAAAGGGAGGAATGGCCAAGGCATCTGTCCTTTTAGCAGATCTCCACACTCACCATCACATAAGTGTGTGCTCTCTCTGGGGCACACTGACTACATGTCTGAACTTCTTTCCTAAGCCCCAGCATGGGTGATGGCAGGGGATGTATCCCTTGACTCCTAGAGAGAGATTGGAGAGAGATGACCAAAGGCTTGAGAGTTCCAGTTCACTTCAAATGTGGTCCAAAATCTCTGAGTAAATATGAAAAGAGATCTTACCTTCACACACAAGACAACTGGAGTCTTCTAGACTGAATTATGCTCTTCCTTTTCTTGACTGGGGATTTCAGATGAAGAAAACATGCACAGTCTTGTTCCTTGACGATGTCTAAAGGACCCATGACTCAATACAAGTGAGGGTTCAGCCTTGAGTGTGAGGTGGGCTAAGTGACTTCTGAAGGCCCCATGCTTGGCCGATTCCAGACATGAATGTGTAGACATGTTTCTTCTATTTTCCTTGATGTGACAGTTTGGCCTCCAGAACCAAATGTGCAAAATCCCTTGGCTGGTGTGCATGACATTGCTACCATACCATGCCACAGGAAAAAGAGCATTAAGCTCGGAATTGAGTCATAACTGAGTCTGATCATACAGGAACACAATGCAGGTATTCTAGGATCAAATTCTAGGATCCACTCAGGATTAGTATTAGAGGAATGAGAAACACTCTCAAAGTGATAATGAGGACAGCAAATTTGAGGGTGCTTCTCCTTGGCTAGAGCTATCAAGTTTGTGTCTCAACAGAAAAGCAAATCCATCCCTAGATCAGTGTGCTTCAGATGCTGTCAACTTTGAGATCAAAGAAGGATAGCTGGAACAAGGGATGCAACCAATAGTGGTACCCAAGGATAGCCATGGTGACTGGTCTCTTCAGCCTCCCAGAAGGTCTTCACCATCTTTGAACCATGCTTACCCTGGAGCACCAGATCACTAAACTGCCAGTCAAAGTGTCTGCATGAGCACTATTCTCTGCAAGTTCTCAAACAGCCATAGGCCTCTAACCTCTGGGAGTCCTCATGAACAGCCTCATCCATTTCCTCACTTCCATAAGTAAAGAAACACAGTGGCAATTGCTTCAGCTACATATCCCTTTGGCAGGTGAAATCCTAGCCTAGAGCTTCCTAATCGGTCACCCAATATGGCTTAACCCTGGATGACCAAAAGACTCTATGATTGTGGCCAGAATGGCTCAAACCAATCTCTTGGACTCTGTCACCCCCTCCCAGAGATTCCAAATTCCCATTAAAACCCTCTTAAAGTCTTGGCATCTTCAGTGCAAATATTCCATCAGGAAACATCACATCACAAATAAATACCCAACAAGGTTTGGTCCCCAAGTGCCTTTCTCTCCCATAACAGCAGAATCAACATAGCCTTCTGAGAGAATTTTTCCCATTCAGAAATGAAGCACAGCCTGCCTTCCTCCAAGCCTTCAGCACCCAGAAGATTCTTGCAAAGTCTAGTGCTAAGTTAAATAAGTACATCAATGTAAAGGGTCACAATTGCCCTAGAAAAATAGCAAGACAACATGCATGCATACTCACTTTGATGAGTCTATGAAGTATATTACAAGGGCACCAATGCTGAGAGCAAAGACTAACACAACCTGCAAAAGAAGATAAACATTCCATTACTTAAGGCCTGGGACCAGAACATTTGCATTTCTGATTGGCAGCAACAACTGATTGAAGCACAGTGCCTACAACCTCCAGGGACCTGCTTCCATATCTCCTGTGTTCACTACCCTGTGACAATCCAGATAATGGTTCTTCAGCCAGCAGTGGGAGCACCATTGTGAATAGTGGCCAGGGAAGACTTTTCTATGCCATGTCCTTTTTGTTCAATCTGGCCCTGTTACCTTAAAGACCAGCTTCTCTACAGTTGAAGTCAAAAACTTCAAGGGAAAAGAGTAAGTACAGGGATTTGGGAGGATGTAGTTTTTCATCCTCTACCTACCCTGGACTGAAAGAGAATGATTGTTTCTAACAACTTTGTTGAGCTATAAAATACATCCATTTTGAGCATATAATTCCTTAATGACTTTTGGGAAGTTTACCAACCTATATGACACCACTGTGATCCAGTTTCAGAACATTTTTATCACCTCGATAAGATCTTTCTTGCTTGTGAAATTAATAATCCCTGTTCTCTCCTCTGGGCTGAGTCACTAACCTGCTTTTGCCTCTATGTAAGAAATAACTATTGGCAAATTACACATTTGCTACTACAGATGTCCCGAGAGAGAGAAAGAAAGAGAGAGAAAAAATTTAAGCAGTTATGTGCATGCATACATATTTCTATATAGATTGAAATTTTCATGATTCTGTGTATGTTTATAAGATTTCTCAAGTATTTATGGAAACCAATCACAAAGCCAATCAGTCATACATATGACCAGTTAGTTATATGAGAATCTCTAAGCTGTTTTGGACTCACTCAAAATCAATCACCACAAATATGAAAGACAACTTTGGCATCTCCTTCAATGTGCACCTGTCACATAAAAGTCCACTGAATGGACATGTAGCATATTAGGCTGCTACTGACACTTCTGTCCTTCATTCAATGTCCTAATGTGTTTATTTCATCTTGCACAGAGGAGACAATTACTGCAAATAAAAGATGCTCCCAATAAAACAGACCCTAACAGCCAACAATTAAGGCTGAGATTAGAAATGAAACATCATCACCACACACAATGCCTGCCTGATGCTCAGCCCCTGCCCTTTAGATATACTCAAATCCTAAAGAGACTTCAGAGAAGAGCCTTAGAAATGCCAGCCTTCCCCAAGATCCACATGCAAAAATCTGGCTGGCATGAGATGATGAACAGAAGCTAACTACAACTTATGCAAGGACTAGGCATGATCAGGTTGTTGTTGTTGTTGTTGTTGGTGGTGGTGGTGTGTGTGTGTGTGTGTGTGTGTGTGTGTATGTGTGTGTGTGTGAATCACACACTCCTGTGCTTTTCTGTGTATGCTAAGAACAATGCAATGTGCATGTAATACTCATTTAAAACACTGCAAAACACCCCATGCAACCACAGGAGAGAGATAACCAGCTGGCTACACTGTGGAAAATAGCTGGGTACAATACAAGGAACACATACTGTTCTCAACTACTGCTAGCATTGCTTTTTGAAGAGAAGTGGTTAGAGTACTACAGAAGTAGGGTTTATTTCCTTCTCCTGCTTTGCTTTTCAAATCAAGACTCCCATGTCATACAAGGCAGCTCCCACAGCCTATCTGCAAACACCAGCTACCAATAGACCAGCTCTTAGCTGGCCTGCCTTTGCTTCACCTCTTCACATGGGTTCATTCACAGCTTGTTTGCAAAGGTATACAGGAAACCAACACATAAGCAGGCCTCTGCTTTTCATCCTACAACAAATAGCATCAGACTAATTTGGAGCTGCGCTGCTATTTCTGAGCCAGAAGCAGTTAGATCCTGACCCTCCCCTCATTCTCAGAAAGCTGCAAAGGGCAGGGGCATGGTCCTAACAAAGGGAGGGACCCCTTCATTCATAAACAGCTGATTGGGCACAGATCCCCCTCGATTTAGCTCCATGTTTGTATGAATGTTGAGCTTCATCAGGGCTCACTAGACAGTCCTATGCCACCAAATGCTATGTATTATGAAAGGAAAATCAAAGTCCTTGCAGATAGCACTTCATTCTGTGAGAAGTTAGTTTCAGCACTCCTGTGAAAGCATGTTTCCCAAGCAGCAGGATGGCCAAACTAACTGACACTAATTCATCCCAGCAGCCTCTATTTGGGAATAATGTGCCACTTATTTAAGAAAATCAGTCAATGACAAGAGTTTGGAATACACCCTGCTGTCCTCTTAAAACTCAAGCAAGAAGGGGGGTTGTGGAGTACACCTTTAATCCCAGCACTCAGGAGGGAGGCAGAAAGTAAGGGCAAAAGGAAGATGGGAGGGATATGACCCTCTACAGCACTGCACTGACTGCACCTAGGTTTGGATCCTGTGTCCAGCTGAAAGGCTTTCTCTCAGGGAGATTGGGTAATCCAGACAGCCCTGCCCACCAGGAGCCACTATTACCTGCCTGCATGCCAAAATTAAAATAACAGTGCTTCTCAGTAGGAAGGTCAACTGTGCATGTAAACTTTAAACTTACCAATGTGTCTTGTTATCGTGCCGGGCTCAATTACACTGTCAGCCTAAACTCAGGTCATGCAGAAATGTGCCCATGAAAATGTGAGCGTGAGAGCCTCAGAGACTTGTTACATGACTCTCTCCAAGCTGCCTGAGCAGAAGGCACAGCTTGTCCTCTTTCTCCAGCTTTCTAACCATCAATCTCATTCTTTTTTTTTATAAAGGGAAATAATGACCAGTGGGTAAAGACACTTGCCAAGGAACAAGCCTAGAAAACCCACCTAAGGTATACAAAGGAACCCATTCCATAAAGCTCTCCTCTAACTCCTAAGTCTGTGCTGTGGTGTGTGTGTGTGTGTGTGTGTGTGTGTGTGTGTGTGACACACACACACACACACACACACACATCATGCACATACACAGAATGATAAACCAGTCCTATGTGATTACATAACTAGTAGTCAATTGTGCAGGGGAGGTACAAAGAATGTAGGCTAAAGCTACCAAAGGCAGACCATCAATCAAGGGACAGAGGAGAAGTTAGAGGAGAGTAGGCACATTATGGGTTCTTGTCTTGGTACCTCTTTGTTCTCTAAGTAGCACTTCTTCATACAAGTTACGGCTGCTCGAATATTGCTCCAGGATAGCAGAGAGTCACAGAAGCCGTTCTGCATGCTTCTATAGCCCCAGTAATAAAGAGAATGGAAGTCCATGGGATAGGGAACTATGACACTAAACAAATCACAACACCCTTCATCTCAGACAGCAAAATGGATGTGTTCTCCAGCAGCTAAGTCATAGAATAACCTTTAAAATGACCAGCCTTTTCCATACAGGGCCTATATGTGGTCAGTACTATGATCTAAGAGATCCTTTGCTCTTTGCCTGGCATGACACATGTTCTGCTAGCTGTGAACCGAGTCTGTATAGCTCGTCTAACTCCACATGGGCAGCACTCATCTCACCACCTTGGCTATCTTAGACAGTACTCACCGCCCCACTCTCAGTCTAACTGCAAATGCCCATATAAACTGCTTTCAGTGTGAAGCACTCATGCCTGGCTTAGATCCACCAAGAAACTGGAGGCGAGATGAGAGCCAGCACTTCCGATTCTGTTTTGAGTGCATGCTTTGGATGAATGTACAGAGGTAAATTATTTGTCCTCATTGTCTTTAGTCACCTCAAATTCCAGGTGAAGCTAATGCTGTCAAGACAAACCACCCCTCAGATAAGGACAATTAGCCACGAGGATGAAGTTGAGTCCTAAAACATAGATAATCATCTTGCTGAAACCAGACAAGTCCCAAAGGCAGAATGCAGACAGTGACTAACAGATCTGTGTCTCAGACCACTCTGTATGTCTACCTTACAGGACAGGAGCTGAGACAAAGATGGAGCAGTGATAGGCAAGAGCATCCTTTGACTGGACAGCTTTGTCATGCATATCTCTTGCTCTCTATTTAAGCCTTAACCTCACATTAGCATCATTAAGACAGACATGATGTCAACTGGACCATTTTAACATATCTCTTTCCAGTGTGGACACACTGGGAAGTAAAGTAAATTTTCTTCCTCTGCTCTTCAGTATTACTTGTGACTTTAACTGGAGAAGGATGACTGAGCTTGCCTTCTTGGGCATTCTAGAGTCCAGATTTACACCAATAAAAAAAATTCCAGTCACAATACCAAACACTGAGTCTATTTCCAGAGTGCAAAAAAGGAAGGAAGGAAGGAAGAAAGGAGGGAAGGAAGGAAGGAAGAAAGAAAGAAAAAAAGAAAGAAAGAAAGAAAAAGCAACTTGACAAGCAACATTGAAACAATGGAATGTAAGTCATCTATTTTCAGAACCCAAAATGAAACACAAGTGTTTGCACCAAAGAATGCCATGAACACACACAGTATATTAAAACAAGATACACACACACACACACACACACACACACAGTCTATCCTCTTTATCAAGAGGAGTCTAGACATGAACTGAGTTGAGAGCAAGAAAGATTAGCAGCCATCTTCCTGAATGGAAACCCCAGCAGGCCATGAATACCATTCAAATGCCTGGGGCAGGGAGGGGTGTCATAAAAATGAAAAACAGTGTAGCTAAGCACAGCACCTTTCCCTCAGTTACTGAAGCTCCTGGGGAAAGCCAAATTCAGTGAAGTTTCTGCCTCAGATAGGCATGGAGGGAGAGCCAGAAAGCTAGAGAGTAAAGATTGTATATTAGCATATGAAAAGAACAAATCAGCAAAAAGGAAGATTGGGAGAAAACTTGGCTGAGGCCAGCAAAGAGGTGCAAAGGTAAGGTACTCCAGTGGTCGGAAGATGACCCATGGATCATTTCAATATTAAACAGCTCAGTCTTAGGTGGAGACTTAAGATGCTAATGAGATATTAGATACATGAGGTTATATGCAGAACTACACTTAACAGAGCATATACAGAAAAGCCAATATGGAAATGATCCCAAGTACCTGTATTGTGGGATATAAA